TTCGAACCACTTTAAAACATCACCGATATGTTTAGCTTAGCTTAAAGTCCGTTGCATTGTTCACATGACTAAAGCTGCAAAGTGTGTCTGCATGCATGCACGTGTGAATTGCTTGAATATGAGGTTAATGTCATTTCCTTTAAAAACTTTCTCAGAAGTCTATCAAGCTAACATATCATCCCCCCAAAAACATTTAATAGATAGAATTTGCACCAACGCTTTAACAGGCGTTCGTCCTCTCTGTTTCCTCTCCGTGAAAATCCTGTCACACTTAAACGCCCACCTGGCCCGGCTTCAGCTCTCTTTGTTGTCACCGGCCGTGTGTGCTGCACAGACGCTCCGTCTGCTGCTAAGGGCGCCCCTGATGTTTGAAAGAAACGTGCAGGTGTAAGAAGACAACTCCCAACCCAAAAAGAGGGAATGTGTGGAAGGCAATTAAAAAGAATCAGGGGTGGAAGTTCATCTGTATCCAAATCTTTTGCTTGCTTCCCGGCAGGCAGGCTTTGGAAAAGCCTTGGCTTCTCTCGTTTCTGAAACATCCCCAAAACACAAACAAGCGCAGGCACACAAATCTCTCAGAATGTCAAATGTTAGAGGTGGTTTAAGGCCTTCTTTCACAGCTCAATTTGTGCTCACAATCCTCACTTGTCCTGGTTTCCAGTGTTCCCTCCCATGTCATGCAAACAGCTCGTTAACAAATACATTTTAGGGAGAAGTGTGGGAGAAGCACATTTGGGGTTCGTGTTATTCCCCGTGGCAAGTCTCAGTACATCACTGATTGGCCTGCAGTGAAATGTATTGGGGTGATGGGGTAAGATTAAACAGTTTGTCAGAAGCTGTGAACCTCCTACACACAGACAGATTGGGAACCCTTCTATAGATCAGTGTGCATGGCCACAGGCTCTGTGTGTGTGTACATGTGTGTACATGTGTTTACATGTGCGTGGAAGCAGGTCTCATGCGAGCGTGTAGTAGTCGTGTAAGTCTTTGCTTTCTACTAAAAGCACAGAGCTGGAGGGAGGACGGCTGGCACGAAGCACACCTGTCTCTGTCTGTCTTAGGTGTGGAGCTGGCAGAGTGAATGCAGTGTCATGTTCCCTCCCAGACTACATCCACGCTGCACCGGCTAAATCTCAAATCTTCTCCTCTTCGTTTTGACCCTGCTTCTACACCTGAAAACTGAGCTTTTTCCAAAATGCTTTCCAAAAGTGGATAATGCCGGCTCGAGGACAGCTGGGCCTCGGAAAAATTATCATGTTGGGGTTTTTTTTGGTTTTTTTGCCACCTGCCTATGTATCTCGCTCGTAATCTCATGTTTTTTCCCTATAAGTACAATTAATGAAGCAGAGTTAAACATAAAAACATGTAAAAGCTCCCCTAATCCTTCTTCACCATCTCTGCTTCTTCTCTCTTACCCACACACTGGCTCTTAGCCACTGGTTATGTGCCTGACAACATTAAAACAAGCCACGCAGAGGAAGAGAGGAAAGAATGACAGTAGAAAGAAAAGAATAGAAATCATTAGAAAAAGCGCAGGCCAGAACAAAGAGAGAAAGGAGATCTTGTGCTGGTGTGACTAACTGTTAGACAAAGTTGTCAATGCTAGAGAGGGGAGGAGGAAACTGTCACCACAACGAGGCGTTCTCTTGGGGAAATATGACAGGAACTCTGACACGTACACATGCGCGCGCATCCACACAGATGCGCGCACACATGCTCGCAGTGCGCTGACAGCTCGCGTCATAACTGTGTTAGTTCCTCACAAAACATGATGGGAGAGTGGGAGGTGTGTGACCCTCATTATGTTGGGAGGTGGCTCACCTGTCAGACTGCACGCTCACACACTGCTGTCTGCTTCGTCCTCTTCATCGCTATTGTTCGTGGGATTTATTGTACAAGGCAAATGTTATAGGGAATGAACATGTTTGAAAATGCTCACTGAGAGTACAACATGCTGAAAATGTTACTCTGTAAAAAATGTACCACCTATTTATTATGGCAGGATGTGTCAAGTAATGAGAAGGAGCACAAACTAGAAGGCGCTGACTAGAGTTAAAGGCATAAACTGTACTTAAAAGATGGACACAGCCACCTTGACTTCACCTGTGGGCTAGCAAACCCCCGTTTTGAAGCTTTTAGTATTTATTTTAAATTTGGAACCAGAAGTAATCATATTCGGATGAGGGAAGTGCTCATTTATCAGGTTCATTTATCACATTTATACATTGTATGAGTGCTAGCCCTAATTAACATTGTAGTTGTTAATTAGGGATAAATGACATAGTATTAAATTACTGGTATTACAGTTTAAAGGCTCCAGCACAGCTGTGAGCCTGCATTAGATGAGTGGAAGAAAATGGATGGATGGGATTGCAGAGACTGTTTGGACATGCTGTGAGTACACTTAACCTCAGACATAGTCATGTTTTTGTATCAGCCTGTAGGCCTTTCTCCTCTAAAGTGGAGTATTTTAACACGGGAGTGCATGGAGCCAGCCCCGAGTGCCCATTTGGCGAACTGCAGTTTTTGTCACATTGTCACACATTTTTCGACCACAGAGGTCGTGTCTCTCTTAAATCCTGGCACCTCATTATGAGGTTTAGAGTCTGGGCTGAATAGTTTTTGTAGAGTTATCACTATCCATGACAAAAAACATCTATCTGTGAATGTGTTTTGGCCTCTTTGTCCACAAACAGTAGCATTCATGGCCAGAATTGGAGTTTTTCTTAACAAAGCTTATGGAATTTTATTCCTGGAAAAAGTACTCTGTTACATTACTTGGCATTACTCCATACCATGGCCTGTAATGCACTATAGCATATGAAGTTAACAATATAAACCTTAGGCTACAGTCCGACACACCAACACTAATCCCTATCCTGCTGAGGACATGAATTTTCTTCTAGTGTTTTCTTTTAGGGTCGTTGCATTTCTATTGTAGAAGCATTTACAGGCTGGAGGCTTCAGCGCTGAGTGTGGCGGCTCAGCACTGCCGTCGTTACCTGTTTAATTACAGGCTGCTATGCTGGGGTCTGCATACACTCTGCTTTAACACCAGTCTGGGTTCTTTGGATGCAGTTTGCACTTCACCATCACACTCTTGTCCTTTCATACAATAAAAATAAAAATACTTCTCACGTCATGACTCCTTAAAAGTTGTAGACCACGCTGTAGTTTTCCTCCTCCCTGCACGGGACCTGAAATCAGCTGATCATAGCGCAAGTACAGATGTGTGCGCATCCTGCAGAGAGCTCAAGAAAGTTTGTAACAAAGTAACAACATGAGTGTAACTTTAATGCGCATTACTAATGCATGCTGACAAATACTGAAAACACCAACTGGCCTTATATATGTTTTTAACTGTATTATGTCTGTACCGCATGTTTAATATGCAGTGGTACATGATCCATTAATCCACTGGCTCACTGGGAGGTTTTCTGTTTCCACTGTAAAGTATTTTTGAAATGTATAAACCTTTTAAACTCCAGGGTAAATGGAAGCGTGTCCATTTGATTACTTTAGAAAAATGTTGAAAGCTCAGTGTTGAAGCAATTCATGTGACTCATGTGGTCAGAAGTAGGCGATGGACAAACATCTACAGGGGGAGGTCAGCCAGAGTTTTGTTTTGCTGTAAGAAAATTAGCTGCTGGAGGAAATTCTATTGAGGAAGCTATTTTAGAGCCAGGCAGGTGTGTCTCTGGTATTCAGACACAGAGGCAACGCTCCTGCTGCCGCTCCGGAGATGGGCCGTAACATTTGTGCTCAGAAAACATGAAAGAAAGAAGAATAAAAATAGATGTGCAGTCAGTACCAACGTTTTACAGAGGAAAAAACAATTGCTCGCACCCGTCTGTAGCAAATAAATGTGTAATATTGAAAATAACCGTGAAATTCAGAGACACCGCTATTAAAAAGTACCAGATATGAAAAAACAAGGAAACTTTCATTTAGTTGTTGATCATCTTGATTATTTGTAGTTAACTGTGTATCGCAGTGCTTCCTGTCTTATTTAAACATAAGGATTTAACACAGCCGGAGGGAACAGCACAGACACAACCTAAATCCTTTTGAAAATGTGGTTTTGTCTTTGAAAACAAGCCGAGCAAGATGTGCGAGACGTAAACCAGAGTCATTCGGTCCACATTAGTCAATTTGTACCATCAAAGGGCCTCGTGCCCGTTCGCGGTTCAAACAGTTTGGCTTTTGTGTACGTTTGTGACTTTGACCCTTTAACCAGAAATCTTGTGATTTATGGGAAACAGATCGATCGTTGTTTAAGTGCTGCGTTGTTTTGTGCTTTGAAAGCCATCAAACTTGTAAATATATTGTGTGAAAGTGGGAATCTGTTTGTGGGGATTTCTAAACTGCATTGTGTGTGACATCATGCAGAATAAAAGAGTGCTCGCCATATTACTCACACGTTCCTTTTGTTTGTACTTATATTCTGCAAACCACGAAGCTCAGCTGTTGGAGTATGTGATCAGTCGGTTACAGAATTTTAAAAAGATTTCTTTTTCTATTTTGCTTCACGCAGGTGGTTCCTTTCATCTCGCACCATATGTGAACTGCCAGCTTCTTCTGCTGTATTTATTTGAATCGCGATGACACCCATGCCGCCGCTGATAGTAACTGTGCTTTCAGAAGTCCCTCTAGCCCCTTATAGATGCAAACAATCTGCTCTTTGCTTCCTTTTTACAGTCAAATCCAATGTGATGCCTGCCAAATAAAAAAGAAAGGAGAAGAAACTAATAAGATCAGAGTAAAAGCAGCTTGTGGGGAATTTAACAGTTTTCTCTTCCTGTAATTGAACCATCATTTCCTTTCCTCCTCTAAACACCTCATCAGTCTACTAATGCAATGCTTTCAGATGTTCATGAATATACTCGGATATTTTAGGCTGAACGTGATTGGTGAATGTGTGTTTCTGCCTGCGACCGAGCTCTGAATCGCCACTGGAAATTCAGTCCAGGTGCTTAGTGAGGTGTGTTTGTGTGTCGCAGGTATGACTATGTAGAGATCCATGACGGGAACTCAGAGTCAGCTGACCTACTGGGGAAGCACTGCAGCAACATCGCCCCCCCACCGATCATATCCTCAGGGCCTGCGCTCCACATCAAGTTTGTGTCAGACTACGCCCACCAGGGGGCGGGGTTCTCGCTCCGCTATGAAATCTTCAAAACTGGTAAGTTTTCACTTAATATATATATATATATATAAAAAAGAATAAAAATCCTTTGATACTGAACAGTTTGTATTCAGTGGTTGAATCATGGACTGATGTGGTTAGCACATCTGGGCTTCTGTGTGGAGTTTGCATGCTCTACCTAAGCCAGGCTGCTCCAGTTTCGTCCAACAGTCCAAAGACATGATGACATGGTCTGGTACTGATGGAGTTCCTGCAAGTACACCCCATCCCACAGTGCATCGGGGCAACGCGGGGTTCAGTATTTTAACCAGCAGACTGGCGGAGACAGGGGGCCACTGACCTTCTGATTGGTGGATGACCCGCTCTATCACCTGAGCCACAGTCACTCAACATACTTTTTTCTGACTTGTGTTCCTAAATTGACAATAAGTGTGGATGCCTGCCTTTGTCATCCTCCAGCCTCTCCCCCTGTGTTGGCTGGGATAGGCTCCAGCCCAGGTGACACGGATTGCAGACTCAAGCTTAATAACCTTAATAACCTGTAATGACATTTATTAAATTAGAATTTAAACTGCCAGGACAACCCCAGTACGACACTGTTGTACGGCTGACAAAGCCCTCTTCATCGGCACCCATAAAGTCTATCCAGCACTCCCAAAAAGGACATTATCACTGTAAATGACCCGCACACGCGGGCAGCCTGAACAGTGAGTGAACAGGATTTTATAAGAACTGCACCCATGAATAGGCTATTAGTAACTGTATTACAAGCTAGCAGAGGATTGAACATGCTTCATTAGGCGACCAAGACTCGTTTATCTCCCTGGTGTCAATGGAGACAGAGCGAAAACCACAAGAGACGCAGCCGAGGACCCTCGAGAGCTCTTTAGTCCGTCCAGGCAAGACATCTCTTCCCTTCATGGCACTTTGTGTGTGTGTAGAAGTGTGTGTATCCGACACGGCTCCCCTTCACGCTGCTACGGGTCAGCCAAAGCGAGACCAATTGAGATCAAGGGCATGCGAGACAGAGAGGCGCGTAGCGTCGGCCCCATGGCCATCTTGTCCCGTTCCCCCTGAAAGCATTCCACACATGCCTGCTTAATTGAGTCCTGAGCCCTGCTCCCCTGAGACACACAAACACACACATGCACACACACAGAGGGCTGAGGTTACTAACACAACACGTGTGCTTGTTGGTGTTTCTCACTTGCTGGCACCAGTGTTTTGGGATTTCTTGTCTTTCCCTCCGTGTGTGTGTGTGTGTGTGTGTGTGTGTGTGTGACTGTTACACAAGACAGAGTCCACCTGATGAACATGAGTGTCAGCGTTCAGCACCCGAGGGAGAAATAGAGAGCGACAAAAAAAAAAGAGAAAGGCAGATTTGTGAATCAGTTACTTTGTTTTGAATTTATCATCGAGTCATTTCTCTTTTTCTTTGCGTGTAAACACTCGTTTGTGTCTCTTTTTAATCTTAACTCCATAATTCCAACACATTACTGTAGTTTATTCAGTAAAATGTATGTAATGTGCAGCTTAATGAGCAAGAAAAGCATTCTTTGCTCACCGCATTTCTGAGTTTCTGCCATTTGTGGTTTGGAAATGCTGATGATGTGTGCAGTTAGGCTGACATTAAAACATTAAAAATACCTTGTTTGGGTATTTTGCCATAACTACAATCACACAGTTATTGTGTTTAAATGATCAAACATTTCATTTGAGATATGAGAAATACTTTTAACTCATTCTACTTATCAACTTTTAATATGTAACCATTTAAATCCAACTCCTATGAATATCCAGGACTTTTCTTAGTTTGTGTGTGTGTGTGTGTGTGTGTGTCCAGCCTTTTCTGGCAGTAATGATGGAGCCATTTGGAAAATTCAAGCTGTTGTCATACGGCTAACAAGATCTTGTTATCCTGGAAGGTGCAACTGAGCGTCTGGTTGTGTGGATGACTAGATTTTGTGTGTGAGTGTATGCTAGACAATCTGTATACCCTCATGGAGAACCATCTAAATTTATATCTGTTTTTGGCACCTGCACATTCAGTTCTGTTCAATGAAAAAGAAAGATGAAAAAGCTTCTCTTCTCTTTTCCTGCATTTTCACGGCCTCCACTTACGGGTAAATATAGTCTCACTGCTTGGCACAAAAATATGTGGAACAAAACAAGACAGAAACTTCTTGAGAAGAGCTTTAAGTTTATGCATTGTCCTCTTTAAAAAAAAAAAAAAAAAAAAAAAAAAAAACCTTCATCACAGCTCTTCTTCTTTTAAATTGTTCCAAAATTTAAATTTATGACTATTTTTTGCTTTGATGTGATTCATCCGTTCACTTTGTTGACCTTTCTCTCATTTTATTTGATTTTTTCTGTCCTCTTTTGCCTCCAGTAGCCGTAAACATCGTTGCACCTTGAGACACTGTTTACTGGGGTGAGAGCCTTGCTGTTTCTTGGAAGAGGAAGGCTTGATTTCTCAGGAGCATAGAGTTCAAAATTAAATTAAACTGAATCTTTCCAATTCAAAAAAAAAAATTCTTTGTGAATCTGAAGCTCACACTGAAGTCTTTGTTATAAGAAAGTTCAGTGATTCGCTCAGTTTCAGTGCCCTGTGTTGCTGGATTGTTAGCATTTCAATGCCTTAACTCGCTTGGCTGAACATTTAGAGGACGCCTTCCTGTTGCTGGGGTGTGTTATGGAGTGAGGAGTAGGTTTGCATGGAGAACACAGGCACATGTAATGCATTCACACATACATGTACACGAGCATGGAAGGCTCACGCGTGCACGCCAGTAGCCGCCATTAAAGTCGAAGCACATAAACAGACATAAAATATAAACAACGGAAATGTCAAAACAAAAACAACGTGCTACTGTTGTTATTGTTTACAGCCCTGTTACTATGGAGATTGTAGTAAAATTCCAGCCAATGGAAACACAGCCGCTATTATGTGA